TCATTTTGGTAATGAGTTCGACACCCCTGCTCTAGGAGATACAATGGCATGCATGGGAACAAGTTAAATATCCATAGGAGGTGTTTTCAGGAAAGACTAGTGCCACATCAAAAATCCAAAGACAGGCATCCTGGGAGTTTCAAGGCAGGCGTGGATTCGAACCTGATCCCAGATGTTCTGTTGAGCTGTGACAGATCCTCAATCTAACCCATCTGCCTTAATTATGCAAAACAACACTATAAGGGAAGGGAACAAGCAAACTGGGAATCAACCCAGAGGGACATGTTCGGTGGTTGTGCAAATCAGAGTTACAGCAATTTGCAAACTGGGATTTTTCCACCACCTCTAGCCCGTACAAGCCATCTGCCTCATGGTGCCAAGAGAGAAGAAGAGATTGGATTTCTACCCCGCCCTTCACTACCCAAAGGTGTCTCAGAGCGGCTTACAAACTCCTTTCCCTTCCCCTCCCCACAACAGACGCCCTGGGAGGCAGGTGGGGCCGAGAGAGCTCTTGACAGAAACGGTTCTTTTTCAAGAACAGCTCTGACAGAACTATGGCTTGCCCAAGGTCATCCAGCAGCTGCTTTTGGAGGACTGGGGAATCAAACCCGGTTCTCCCAGATTAGAGTCCGCGCACTTAACCATGACACCAAACTGGCTCTTCCACTGAGCCACGGCCCCTCCAACAAAGAACAAAGCCATCCCACCATGACCCTCTTGGTCCGTGACCCTCGTCTTCCGCTGAGAGAGAACAGAAGGAAGGAAAAGGTCCCTCAGAACACAGTCTACATTTCAAAGGGGACAATGGCAGAAGAGTGAAGACAGGAAGAAAAGGTCAGTGTGCCTATCCAGCTATCTAGTATCTCTTGCCACTTGCTTCTGGAGGTCTGAGACGGGGGACAGCGCCTTCGCTTCCAACAGGGTGTGTGTACAAGGGGTGTTCTTGGTGTCAGAGGCAATGTGGCCAAGGGCTCGGGGTTCAAATTCTGCCCCGTCACATCTCCAGTGGCTGACTCATAACCTTCATATTGCTGATGTGAACAACAACAACAACAAAAAGGGATCTGAAGACATACAACGCTCTCCCGAAGAAACAGTGTATGTGTGTATGGGGGGGAGGAGATGGAAAGGATTCCGGTATTATCACACTCCATCATTTTGGTGTCCAATCAGCTCAATTTTATGCACCAAAAAATACTGACATATTATGATTAGATCACTGAATGCCGGCTCATATTTTATCTGTGAGCTTTCAAAGATTGGACGCGAAGTAGATATTTACTGGCTGGAGGGAAAGCAGATGGAATGATGAAGGAAGAGGCTCGGGGAGTGTGAAGGAATGTTTCCTGTGGTTTCCTCACGTGGAATAAGTGTCCCGCTATGAAGACGGGAGCAGCAAAGCTGTTGCGGGCTCAAAGCTCGGCTTCGCCAGCAATATCCTTCGTGACCATTGGCAAGCTGCAGCCTTCGAGTCTCCCGCCACAACATATGCAGCGAAGAAGAAGAAGAGTAAGAAGAAGAAGAGTTGAATTTGTACCTCGCTCTTCACTCGGAGTCTCAGAGCGGCTTACACTCTCCTTCCCTTCCCCTCCCCACAACAGACACCCTGTGAGGTAGGTGAGGCTGAGAGAGCTCTTTCCGGGACTGCTCTTGAGAGAACAGCTCTGAAGGAACTTGTGACTGACCCAAGGACACACCAGCAGCTGCATGTGGAGGAATGGGGGATCAAACCCGGCTCTCCCAGATTGGAGTCTGCACTCCTAACCACTACACCAAACTGGCTCTCAGCGAGGCAGAGTACTAGGCCCACCTTGGAGGGCTGTTGTAAGATACCAAAACAATTTTATCTCTCGAGGGCAGAATTTACAGGATATCTTGAAGGTAGAAGAGAAGAAGAGAAGGAGTCTCAGAGCGGCTTACAAACTCCTTTCCCTTCCCCTCCCCACAACAGACACCCTGTAAGGTGGGTGGGGCTGAGAGAGCTCTGACAGAAACTGCTCTTTTTTCAAGAACAGCTCTTAACAGAACTACGGCTTGCCCAAGGTCATCCAGCCAGGGGCAAGTGGAGGAGGGGGGACTCAAACCCGGTTCTCCCAGATTAGAGTCCACGCACAACCACTACACGAAACTGGCTCTCTCAGGTAAGGTAAGATGCAGTGTGGACACTGTGCGACTGTAATTATGTGGTGTAGCGGTTAGAATGTCCGACTAAGATCGGGGAGTCCCGGGTGCGAATCCCCACTCTACCACACGAGGTGACCTTGGGCACTCTCAGCCTAACCTACCGCACAGGGTTGTTGTGAAGATAAAATGGAAGGACAATGTAAGCCTCATTGGGACCCTATTGGAGAGAACAAAGGGGTATAAATGAAAGAAATAAATTAACTCAGGGAGTTGCCAACTAACCTGTAAACAAAAATAGGGTCTGTGGCTTAGCGCCTGAGCCCCTGCTTGGCATACAGAAGGTCCCCGGTTCAATCCCCGGCATCTCCAGTTAAAAGGACCAGGCAGGAGGAGGTGTGAGAGACCTCTGCCTGAGACCCTGGAGAGCCGCTGCCAGTCTGATTTTGATGGGCCAGTGGTCTGATTCAATCTCAGGCAGCTTCATGTGTTCATGTGACTTTTTAGTTCACTAGTTTGGTGTAGTGGTTAAAGAGCGGTGGACTCTAATCTGGAGAACCGGGTTCGATTCCCCACTTCCCCACTTGAAGCTAGCTGGGTGACCTTAGTCAAATCACAGCACTCTCGGCCTACAAGATAAGCATAGCTCGCCACCTAGTGGCTACAAAAAAGAGCTACATCTTCGACAGCCAAACATTCCCTCTGGGGACTCTCCTGGCTATTCCACACACAATGACATACCATAATTTCGATAATTTCAATTTAGTCCTCTGAGTTCACCAAGCCCTATAATCCCTGAACCCCTTCCTCCATTTTTGCCAGACCCTTGACCGAAGACACTCTGTGGCGTCCTCGCTTATTGGGGAGACTGTTTTTATCTTTAAAACCCTCTCTGTGTACCTAAACTTGGTAGATTTCTGCTGCCACCAGGAATTAAAAATTCCAAATCTCTTTTTGTAGAATGACCTAGGGGTCTGGGCACTTCGGAGGACTATGTGGCCCTGAGGAAGGACTATTCTGATTTCTGGGATAAAAAATGATTTATTTAATAAAGAACAAAATAGGTTTCTGGTTATTTTGAGCTGTTTGTTTGTTTATTTTCAAATTTGTACCCCGCCCTCCCCGCAAAGCAGGCTCCAACACGACATATATACAGCTTAAAATGTATGAAAGGAACTTGGTAAATATCACTGACAAAGCTTGGTGTCACAAACAGTCTCTCAAACTCCCAAAACTCCACTCTGATAGGTGTAGACACTCAGTCTAATCTCTCTCTCTCTCTCATCTATATAGCCACACAGGCTGAACTCTTTGTCCTATTCACACGGAATAGACTCAAACTCATATTCACACAAGCTAAACTGTGGGTCTTATTCACACAGAATAGACTCAAAAGCTCCCATAGTCACACAGACTATGCTCTCTCTTCAAACGTCACACACAGAATCACTCTCATTGACACCTCTCATAGACCGAAGACCCCAGCCAGTTTTTATGACCCCCCACACACACACAAATTGCCAGCTGCAGCATAGACTTTGGAGGCTAAGCTGTAGGCTTTGCATTTCCTTGATGGTACTGGAATCAATGTCAACTCCACTCGAGTGTGTTTTGAATAATCTGGCGGCTGCTGTTGCAAGGGTGGCGAGGTCTCGAGCGCGTCTCATGTGGAATTGAAAACGGCTTCCTCCAAAGAGGGGGCCGTTAGGCTCTCCCCCCTTACAAAAACCGCACGGCGGTTCCATGACTTGCCGTCACAAGCTGAAGGGTCTCGACCTTACATTTTCGCCTACGCCTCTGGGTTTAGAGAAGAGACAAATCACCCTAGTGGAAGTAGGTCTCCTTCAAGCGGGGAGGGGGGGGGGGGGGGAGGGAAAGGATGTTGCTATATTCAAGGTGCTTTTAAGCGAAGCATAATAATAGAGCGAGTGGGAGTCACAAAAAGGTTGGCTTTCTTAAAAAACGTGGGAGAATATCGAGAGGGTGGGATTGGCTGAGTCAGGAGGCGTGGAGTGCTGTATTCCTTGTTTATTCTGGAGTCACTTTCTGTGCTGCCAGTCTGGTGTGGTGGTTAAGTGCGCGGACTCTAATCTGGGAGAACCGGGTTTGATTCCCCACTCCTCCACTTGCAGCTGCTGGTCAACAGCCCCGTAGCTAGGGATTTTTTGGGAGGGGGCCTGGGGGTGTGTAGCTAATTAAATCATAGTTAATTGCATTAATTCAATTTGAGGCCAGCCCAGGAGGGAGGGGGCCCAGAAGAAACACTAGGGGGCCCCACATTAGCTACGGAGCTGCTGGTCAATCACAGTTCTCTCAGAGCTGTTCTCTCAAGGGCAGTCCTCGAAAGAGCTCTCTCAGCCCCACCTACCTCACAGGGCATCTGTTGTGGGGAGGGGGAAGGAAAGGAGATTGTAAGCCGCTCTGAGACTCCTTTGGGTAGTGAAGGGTGGAGGATAAATCCAATCTCCTCCTCCTCCTCCTTGGGTCAGTCACAAGTTCTCTCAGAGCTGTTCTCTCAAGGGCAGTCCTTGAGAGAGGTCTCTCAGCCCCACCCACCTCACAGGGTGTCTGTTGTGGGGAGGGGGAGGGATTGTAAGCCGCTCTGAGACTCCTTTGGGCACTGAAGGGTGGGGTATAAATCCAATCTCTTCTTCTCTTCCTGTCTCTCAGCCTAATCTACCTCACAGGTTTGTTGGGAGAATAAAACCGGGGGGAGCAGCTACACAGCCCAGAGTGAGGAAGCGTAAGGTTAAAAATAAGACAATCTTCCAAGAAAACCCCAGCTCTTCCGGAACACAGGTTGAAAACGGCTGATGTTTAACTCAGCAGCATTCCCCCTCGATGCTAACCTTCTTAATTAGGTACCAAAGTTCTCTAACCTCGAGCTTCATCTTGGCAATGTAAATTTGTAGCCCCGCTCCCGGGTCTGCTTCCCGTGCATCCCCCGTGCGTCCCCCAGTAAGCACCTTGTTGAAGAACATCGATGAGGGAAGAGTTGTACTTCAGGTTCAAAAGAGCTCTCTTGGCCCCACCGACCTCACAGGGTGTCTGTTGTGGGGAGGAAAAGGGAAAGGAGATTGTAAGCCGCTCTGAGACTCTGAGTGAAAGCCGGGGTGTAAATCCAACTCATCATCATCATCATCATCATCATCATCATCATCATCATCATCATCTTCTTCTTCTTCTTCTTCTTCTTCTTCTTCTTCTTCTTCTGTCAGTCACAGTTCTCTCAGAGCTGTTCTCTCAAGAGCAGTTCCCTCAGAGCTCTCCCAGCCCCACCAACCTCACAGGGCGTCTGTTGTGGGGAGGGGAAGGAGATTGTAAACCGCTCTGAGACTCTGAGTGAAGGGCAGGGTTATAAATCTAACTCTTCTTCTTCGTGGGTCAGCCATGTTAAGTCTATCATAGCAAAACTTTTGCTTATTTTATTTTCACCATATGCGGGAAGGACCAGAACCTCTGACCGCTCCCGTCCTCCATTAAACTACCCAAGAGGTCCAAGTTCATCCACAGAGACTCTCCCCTGATTCACTGTATTCATTCCCTGCTCAACTCTTCCCTCTTTCCCCCTCTGCAAAAATGAGGTAGATCAGTTCCTTTTTTCCCTTTGCATCTGAAGAAGTGAACGAAAGCTCACACTGGAATAAATGTTGTTAGGCTTTGGGCGATTCTGGACTAGACCTTAAATCCTGGTTCAACCCTGTCCCTGAACTTATATTCTACACCACACGCGAGTTCACCCCCGTAATTATCTCGGGGTATTTTTTTGTTTCCACATTACATCGGGGTCACCCCGGTTTCGCCCCACAATTGTCCCGGGATAAACGGATGCTGTTATGTCGTTGTTGTTCAGTTGCACAGTCGAGTCCGACTCTTCGCGACCCCATGGACAAGATCACGCCAGGCCCTCCTGTTTTCCACCATCCTCTGAAGTTTGCTCAATGTCATGTTCGTTGCACTGTCCAACCATCTCATCCTTTGCCGTCCCCTTCTTCTTTGACCTTCAGTCTTTCCCAGCATCAGGGTCTTCTTCTCCAGTGAGGGCTCCCTTCTCATTGGGTGGCCAAAGTACTTGAGCTTCAGTTTCATTATCTGGCCTTCCAGGGAACAGTCAGGGTTGATTTCTTTTAGGATTGACTGATTGGATCTTCTTACAGTCCAAGGCACTCTCAAGAGTCTTCTCCAGCATGCTGTTATAACCAGGGATAAATGCAAGGTGTTGTGTTGTGAGTTGAACTCTGATAAAACCAGGGATGAGATCCAAGTGCGGAAAGGACCTTTGAGGTGCCACTGGACTTCTGCTGCATATGTAGCCACGGGTATTGTATGTCTTCCTGTGATCATCATTCCCGGGAAGTGAAGTTTCACCTCCTTTCCCCAGTAGAGGGAGATCGGACTCTTTCAAAAGAAAGGAAGGGGGGGGGACAACCTTGCTTTTTGTTGTGGCTATAAATGCCAAAAAAGCAAAGAGCATGAGGTGAAAATCGTGACAGGGAAGGGAAAAAAAACAAAACCCAGTTGACTGCGTTCCAAAGCTGACTGCGATAAATTACAGGCCCTAATAACAATAATCATAAAGTATGAATGAAGCTGGTGCCAGATTAACAAAGATATTTAATGTTTCCAGCCTTTGGTCGATACCGTCAAATCGAATGTCATCCGGCTTTCTGAACCAGGTTGTGGTTCAATCCATCACTGCTGTCGGTGTGTCTGTGTGTGTGTGAGAGAGAGCATATTCCTGACCCTTTCCTTCCATCCGTCACAAAGTCCACGGCTTGCAGAAATACATTTATGATACGTCGCGGCTCCGACGGATATTTCCCAGCCTGCCTTCCAGCCAACGGTGACCCCAAAATCAGCCCCCGTGATGGGATCAACTTCGCTTTCACTTAACCCCGGCTGGCCCGCTGCCCTGCCTCACATTTCCTCAATTATACCTCCTGCCGCTCCGTGTGGGACACACATAAAACCCACACCGATTATTTGGTGCAGCCCAAGGGCAAAGCGACGGCTGAAATCGGAGGCACGAAACTCGTTCCGATCGGCTGCAGATGCCGCCCAGCCTCAGACGCAGAGTCGCTTTCACGCACACTGGATAGCGCGCTTTCAATCCACTTTCGATGCCCTCCGCAACCGGATTCTGCTGGGTGAAATGGCAAATTCCGTTTGCAAAGGGTCGCTGAGGTGGATTGAAGCTGCATTATTTAGCATGTGTGGAAGTGCCAGTCTGATATCGACTAGGCTCTGCTGGTTACCAGTCAGGGGCTTCTGCAACCCAGGGGTTATGTTTCGCTGGCGGTTAGTTACAAGTCACTTAATGGTTTGTGTATTGACTCCCAGCGAGCAGCCCGATCGCCGCGATGAACTCTGGCCACCTTTGCTAATGGCTATCGATCCTCTCTTTCACTTGTCCCGTTGGTTTATTTATTTAATTAATTCCTTCATTCATCCCTGGTCTCTCTCCCTAGTGAAGACCCAACACGGTTTACACCATCCCCCTCTCTTCCTTTTCATCCTCACAACGGCCCTGTGAGGTAGGTCAGGCCGAGAGCACGTGACCGGCCCAAGGTCGCCCAGCAAGCTTTCATGGCATTCGAACCTGGGTCTTCCTTTAGTAGTCTGACGTTCCTAACTGCTACACCACACTGGGTCCCTGGCTTGTCACCTGCAGTGTTCCCTCTGAGCCAGAGGTGTCAAACTCATTTGTTACAAGGGCCGGATCTGACATAAATGTCACTTTGTCAGGCCGGGCCACGTGTGCCACAAAACGTAATGCCAGGTCCCAGAAATAGAAACCGCAGATGGTAAGCTCCGAGTTGGTGTGTCCTCACTGCAAGGCCCCCTGGGCTGGGAAGGGAGTGCAGAGGAAAACGCACATAGACAGACTGGAGAGGCGGCAGTGCAATGCTGGGCAGATGCTCCCACGATGCTTGAGGGCTGCAGGCGAGGTTGTTCTGCCGTGCTGAAGCCACAATGGAGTGGCTCTGCCCCCCCCAGCACCCCCTCCCTTGCATCAGTTGCTCACGGGCCACATAAGAGCCCTGGACAGACCAACTCTGGCCCCTGGGACTTATGTTTGACACCCCTGCTCTAAGCTGTGTGCGTGATCGGCCGCTCATTAACACAGGAAGCCCCGCTCAGCAGCAATCGGGAGCCGCACAGGGTCTTGCGCTGCCCATTGCCCACATTAAGATCATTCTGTTTTCTCTTCAGAGCGCATCAATCTTTCCCTTTAAGGTTACCGCCGTTCTCTTCTGCTCAGGATGTGAACTGCTCCACTCAGTAGGGGGGAAAGTTGAGGGAACACTGGTCGCCAGATCTTGGGCATGTGAGTTTTGCATGTCACATGGGGAAATACTCCTAAGAATCACCTGGCTGTCTCAGACCAAAGACCGTGTGCACTTGCAGGGAGTGGTGGACGCTCTAGGAAACCTGCAAGCAAGGTGTGAAGGCGGTGATATTTTGGCCGCAACAGATAAGAACATCTGAAGAGCCCTGCTGGATCAGGCCAAAGTTCCATCTAGTCCAGCATCCTGTCTTACACGGTGGCCAACCAATTCCCCTGGAGGGCCAACAAACAAACGTTATGCTCAGGGGTCATTTAGTAGAAAAAGAGGTGCAGGAACTCATTAGCATAACTTATTTGCATATGCCACACCCCCTGACATAACTGGAAGTGTGTCAGAAAGCAACCCCCACCACTCCACTGGACTGTTTTGGATTGCTAGCTATTG